TAACAAAAGACTGCGCTTAAGGCTTTTCTTCTTTTCCTTCTCCACCTCTTTTCTTCAGAGATAATTCAATTCATTTTATAGTTAAATAAAGAGAAGCAAGAAATTTGCATTTTTGCTACGTAGTTTATTCTAATTTTTTAATTTGTCAAGCTAGTTTATGATAATTACTTTTTTCAAAACTATACAAGGTTGATTGTACGACTAGACACTTTTTCGAAATCTAAAAAACATTTTACATTTTACACACAAATGACTTTTTTTAAATAGTATTTTGTAAACTGTTACATATTTAAAAAACTTGCTTCTTTGCAAAATGAAACTTCGATCGAAATATTAATGAGTTAGACTCCGAGCACAAAAGAAAAAACATTAGGAATAAAAAACAAATATTAAATAAGAAATATTAAATAAGAATATTAAATAAGAAACTTGAATTATTTCTTAACAAAACAAGAAAATGAAATTAATTAACGCATCATAAATTAAAAAATAAGAATTTGGAATAATTAATCTATTCCGTTCTTTTGTTTAATGTAACATTATATTTCAAATTTCTTTTCTAAATATTTAATATTTTTTCCTATTCCTAATATTTTGTCCATTGTGCTCAGGATCTTAATGTGCAAATGGGAGAAAGAGAGATAAAGAGAGAGAGAATAAAAAAAAGAAAACTGTAAAATAATAATCGTAAATGAACATAAAGCCTGTTTGTACTTGTTTTTTCTTTTTTTATACGGTCATTCATAAATACAAATATAGTTTTACTGTTAAGTAAATGCGCGCGAATGTCGTTACTTATTTTCACGCTTTCTTTGCAAAAGACGAGCGGAGCGCCGAGCTTTGTCCAAACTACCAAATGCGATCAGAAGCACACAAAATTGTCATTCAGATTATATTAAAATATTCTATAAATCGCGATACGCAAACACTTCTCTATTTTATCTTCGCTGGAAAGAAAGTTATATCCCGTGATATCCTCGCGGTATCTTCGCGGAGATATTAATATAAAATCGTTGAGATATATGTCGAGACAACAAATGTCATTTATATCGCAGTATAATAAAACAGACATCAATGCTTAATTTGTCGCAATTCATCAAAGAAAAAAAGAGCATCGTATGCTCCATAGCTGGAAACATAAAGGGGTTAAAAAATTGTAGGGGTGACACAAATCAGGGATTATATCGACCTACCTCTCGTTCACGGGAGAATTTTCTCGGCGAGTGATGAGGATTCGATTCGGGAGAGACCGGAGATTATTTTCCTCTCGTACGCGCCGACGACGATGACAAAACACAGAGAGCGGATGAAGGGAAGAGTGCGTCGTCCTTTGCGTCTACGAATATTTTGCTGGCGATAGCTTGACTTGTACCGCTGATGGAAGTGAACAGATCGGAACCGGGCCGACAACGCCAAACACTGAGAGCCGGCACCACGCGGACGAGAGTTAAATATTATTCAGTCGGACCTTGCGGGCACTACCGGTGGCGGCACCGTGTGATCGCCTCGCAAAACTTGCGGAGTCGCATGATAAGAGTCACGTGATGACCACGCGTGATTTTACCCAGTGCTTCGCGTGATTTCGAAAGCGCGCAACACATGTTTCGTGTAAAATCTCGTGATAAACTAACTCTCGCTCATTAAATGTTATTTTTTTGTGTGTCATTTTATTAATCTTTTTTTGTCTTTTGAAAAAATCTGAAATAAAGAAAAAAATCACGGTATTGTGAAATCTGCTCACAAGGAACAATTTACATATATGTATCTAAATGAGAAATATACAAATAATTATTTTTTAGTTTTTTAAATATAATATTTCTCATAAACGAAATAAAGGGGAAGAGAGAGATTTTTGTTCAATAGGCTTATGACAATGTCAAAATAATTCAGACAGCACGGAAAAGCCGAAAAATACACTCTAAGAAAAAAATAAGACATTCTTAAGTTTTTTTTTAGTCGTCTTTTAGAAACATGTGGTGTTTAGAAAGATTGAGGCTATAATGCAAGCTAAATTATAGGATGTAAAACACTCTCTCGTTATTAAAAGAAAAAAAACTAAATTCAGACGTTTCGAGTTGAATCTTCATCGATGAAGATCAAAAAATAGATTAACAAAAGATCGACCGGCAAAAATCTAGCCTGTAAAGATCGAAACGTTTGAATTTTTAACTTTTCTTTTTAAATGACGCAAGAAATTGTTTTACACTATCATCCTGTTATTTGGCTTGCATTGACATTTATTTTAGGAATTTTATCGCTGACTTAATCGAGTGGGGTGATTTTCCAAGATCAGAATACAGTACAGCGTTTCGCAGAATCACGTTGATTGCCCGGGAGAAAGTGCATACACATATGGACATCGAGCTTGTGTTACATCTCACACAGACGTAATGTCCGATTAAATGTCTGATAGACGTCCATGTGATATTTAATGAACATCTAATGAAGGTCTGTATAGAATGTTTTGTTTCTCTGTGGGACTACTAGTTTTTTAGAAAAACAATAAATAAAAATTGAAAATATTATCCAATGTTTTGTATCCAAACATTATTACATTATTACAACGGGTAATTATTTGCGACGTTAGTCATGTCGATAACGAAATTACAGATATTTTAAATTATCGTCGTTTCTAAAGCGATTATAATTTCAACCTTGAGAATCGAAAATAATACATGCGTACGTGTTGTGCGCAATTTTTGTTAATTACTCTTTTTTTTTAATCAGAACATTAGCTCTTATACGGTGTACGTGTCATTACAAAGTACAAGTGTTATCATACATATATGAGACACAGCAATTTTTAGATGCCGATGCTACGCAACAAGGTTTTGATACGACCTTTGAAATGTAATTCACGTGAACGCACGTGGCGGTCGCGCGTTTGAATTAATCATATGTTGTTGATATGGTATGAAAGCGCATAATGTTTTCGGGTTAAAGTTCGTTCAGCCAACGTTCGAAGTCCACGCGATCGGAGTGATTAAGATCTCTCTCATTTGCATCGTTACCGATCGCTCAAATGTGGAAATTTTATTTACGCGATGCGCATACGCATTATACGGATGTCTCTTAGTCTCTCTCGCACAGAGCACTAAATTTTGTTTAATTGCTTTATCATTTCCGCGTTTTGTTCTCTTTCTGATCTATAAATTCTTACGCGTTTTACATGCACAAACAAAAAGTTATATATAATTAACAAATTAGTTAAAGTTGTATGTTATTAAGTTATATGTTATAAACAAATAGACAATGTAGAGAGAAAGAGAGGGAACTATATAGAAAATTTTAAAAAAACATTTACGAAGCAAAAAACATGTAATTTAATGTATGAATTAGTAATTTAGAAAGGGTATTAAATGTATATAATGTCAAGTATATAATTTTCAAAACTTTTTTATAGATTGTATAAAAAAAAACAATTAACGTGTTTTATTAATAACCGCTGATGATTAAATTTATTATTGATGCGAAAATCATTCGAACAGACCGTGTCTCTAAAACTTGTGTTTAATTGTCTGCTGAAAGACACACACACACGATCAGCGCTGAATCGCAACGTAGAAATGACGATCGTCAATTTTTAAATATTATGTGTTAAAAAATTTAAAGTTCGACAATTTATATGAAACATACATATAATAATATTATAAACATGTACATACATGTATAGAGTGAAGATGCTTATTATGAGATAATCGCCTAATAGCGAGATAGTGAGCTATTTCATGTGAACGGTTACATAAATTCATAACTGCGTATTTTTAACACATTACTTACACAAAAACATCAAAGGTTTTGTTAGTATCACTCATTGCCGAAGATGACGTGGTGTCTGCGAAGGAGTTATCGCGCAGAAAAAAAAAATAATCATTATAACTTTAAGATATGTATTCAACACTTTATGTCATGGGATTTACCGGATTTCAATTTACTTAAATGTACACGTGCACGTGTATAAGTTATGTAACATAGTTTTATTACGTAACATAGTTTTGTCAATTTACTGCATATTTTGTCGGTATAAAACTTTCTATAATTTTATATTCCCTAATATGAGACACGCAGCCGCTCTTAATATGAAGTACTTTATATTAGGAACTGTCAAGTTTTTTATTTGATGTATTAGTAAGTTTTTAGTAATCATATTTTCAGATGGAGGCAAAGAAGAGGCAATCGTGGTCTCACAGTCAATTAGAGGCTGTTAAGGCAGTAAGAAGCAAAAAAATGAAATATTCAATAGCATCTAAAAGCATACTATTGAACGATATGTTAAAAATGTGACTATAGTTCTGTTGTTGCTAAGATTCTTATAGGGAAAAGAAACCTTTTTTCATATTAGGGACTCTTTTTTTGAATCAGCAAAATTGGCACTTTTGATTAAAAAAATTCACATGAACCAAAGTGTAGCTATTATCGATTGCTAACTTTTAGCGATAAAACTTGAATATATTTCCCATAAGTTTGACATAAAACTAAGAGTTAAGTTTACATATTTAATAAATTACAAGTCTTTAAAAAAAGGTATCTCATAATAGGCATCTTTACCCTAGGTGGTTTAATTGTTGTTTTTTACATTAAATGAAAAACACACATATAACACGCATACAGTAAAAAGTTTTTGTGTGACAACAACTTTGCTTTAACAAAATGCGACTATCGATATGAAATGACGTTTGATACATAATGTTAGTGTATGTTTTGTTTTTACGTTGTATGTCTCTTATGACATTTTCTTATGACGGTTAACAAAAAAACCGATTATTGATGTGAGTAGTACATAAATAAACTCTTCAATTTTCACATATAACATATATTTACCTATTACCTCACTCCATCAAATACTATTAAATTATAATTTTAGTTTTCAAACATAAATGTTTGAAAATTTATTAAATGCACCATCAAAAAAATGGTTTTCAAATTTAAATTTCTTATTTTAACATTGCATTGTATTTATTAATGTTTTATACACACACACACACACCAAATTATTAAAAATATAATAAAACCAATATTTGTACACAAATTTACATGTACATATATTTTTTTTTACCACAAACAACATTTTTTTAAGACCTGCAGTGTTTTAACCTAACTCTAACCTCTGATACGTATAATCTGATAAGTATAATAACCAAGACTTTCTACGTTATTTTTTCAGATATATCTTAATTCGATTCCGGTGGCGGTACTTCGGACATCATCGGATGACTCCCGTCGCCTTTTTTCAACACAGTGTTTTTTATCATATCCAAAGACGGATATTTCAAATCGTAAGCTAATCCCAATTTCTGACATAATTCAATAAAGAACGTGGTATAATTCATTTTGTTTCCTGTCTCGGACGATCTGTAGTCCCACGGGAACACGTGATGGTAGTTGTGAAATCCCTCTCCCACTGTTATGAAATTGACAAAATCGTTGTTCGCTGGCTTAATGGTTCTGCGTGAAAAATATAATATAAACAAACACATACGTATATATATAATTGATAATGTAAAATTTGTGTTCGAAAAAGTTTTTCTTGTTCTAAACTCAATGACGTCGTACTTATCGTATGGTCTGGTGCCCCATATGTGAGCGATGCTGTTGATGGTCCACACGGAGTTCAAAGTGATCATGTATCGTATGAAAACTTGTGATATAATTGCTCTGCTCCAGGTCTCGTTCCATAAATACACGGGTATTACCGAAGGTAGGATAAAGCCGAAGAACAGTTGAAGCGGCATGAAGTATCTATATAGTAGAGTATAAGTAGTTTTTGTCAGTGTTTCTCGAGATATATGTTTTGTGTGAACAGTTATTTAAATTACTTAAAAAAATATCAAAAAACAAACATCACGTTTGTATCTAACAAACAATTAAAATTTATTAAATTGTCAATTGCACTCGTGTCTGATAGAAAATGAAATACATATGAGAAATATTGTTTCTTTCATTAAAAAAATAAAAAGGAAACATAACTTTTCGCCGAAGGCTACAACGGGATCCGACGTAACGTCTGATAAATCGAGCACTTTACTTTTTTCCGTGAATTCTGGATGTTCCTCCATCATCACCCAGCCGACGTGCGAATAAAAATATCCTCGCGTAATAGTGTGAGGATCGGCGTTGGTGTCGCAGTACTTATGATGCATCCGATGATTTCTAACCCAACTGACTATTGTATTCTAGAAAAGTAAACAAAAAACACCATAAAACACGTCATTTGTATTATCATTTGCACATAAATTAAACAATCATGTAACACGTAACAGATTGTTCAAAAAATCCTCTCGCACATGCGGCATGAAAAAATTACAATTACCTGCGCACACATGCTGAAACATATCAAGTAAAAAATTTTCAGCTGTAATTTGGCCTTGTAACATTTGTGACTCCAAAGTCGATGTGCGCCACCAGACACGCCGATATTAGATATGATATACATGGCAACAACTTCAAAACATAAAAAAAAAAATGTAAAAATACAAATAGAGAGACATTGTCTAACATTAGTTAATATTCAGATGAATGTTTTTTTTTTGTAAAATTATATACAGTCCTTGAACTTTATTAAAGTCAAAGTCGCTGAAGCGAAATAATCACTAAAATAAAAATGTCTTCGTGCTGACACTTGCCGCTACCGTATACTCGCTGCGTACGGTCACATATCATACAATTGCTGTCTGATATACGCGTACAGAAAAAGACAGAGATTTACGGAATTTTTTTCTTTTCTCTCATTGTTCTGTTGTCTTTAACTTTTACGTTTTCGATCGGTACGTCACTTAGATAAAAAACGAGCGATCATATATGATCGGATGATTCGTCAAGTTGACAATGACATTGTGTGAACGCGTTTATCTGTACGAGCGTTGATTCGACCACTGCCTGGGAAAATATTTAGTTCGACTACTTCAATGAGAAATTTTAGATACAATTCTAAATAAACATGAATCAAGAAGAGAAAAGAATCGTTTTCAAATTTCTTGTGCGCGTGTGAAAATCGCTTCTAGATTCCTACGTATAATCAGAATATACAGATCTAAACTTGTGTGAAACTAAGATACTTACTCCACAATGTAGTCCATGGATTTTGCAAATAGTTGAAAGTTACTAAGTTGTATATACCAAGAGTATGTAGTACAAAGAGTTGCAGAGCTATTGACCACACTATATCCGTTTCAAAATTGAAGAAATCTGGTTTTGTTTTTCGAACCTTCTCGTTGGTGGCAATATCGTTGTTCATAATTTCTTGCTCTTTGTACACTTCCGTGATGGTGAGGCACTCGGACTGATTTGACATTGTGTTCTCTTAGTTGCTATCAAATTTATATAGAGAAAAACCAACTTAAAAAAGAAAAAAAAAGAAGATTAGTGCACAATGTGAGATGTGTGTGACAATATTAGAATAAAAAACTTTGATAAAACACTATATCTAATTTATTAAAATACTTCAATTTTTAAAATATTTTATTTTAAAATATTTTAGAAATTTGAAAATAGTTAAAAAAGTAAAATATTTTAATATATTTTTAAAATATTTAAGATTGTTATAATTCGCGGTAATAGAAACAATGTTTCATATTTTTTAATCAGCAAAACGTTTCTGTCTGTACTGATGAATTTATTCACGTTATTTATATTGCTCTATTGTCTGCATTTTTAAAACTTCTTGAATATTTCTTGAATATTTCTTGAATATTTTAAAACTTATGTATAAAAACTTGTTAGCATCGGTAAAAAAAAGTAAGTTAATAAGAAAATATCCTGATTTCAAAAAACCGTTGAAAGTAGTAATTAGAAGATTGTGCACGAGTGATAGAGTTTTATAGTCGATTCTTTAATATCAGCGTACTCTTAAATACGACTGTACGCAACACAACAAACTGTGATTTTGTTATATATTAACCACAACGGTACTGTCACAATGAGTTATTTCAACAAATGTTGCACAAAAAACATTGCATTTCTTAGCACACACGTCAGTCATTTAGTATTAACATGCACGATTTAAATATTATTGCGCTTTCTATATTAATATTGAAGCAGTAAGCAACAGATGACAATATAAGTGCAATATTATTGTCTTTTTTTTCAATTAAAATGGTATCTAGAGAGATTTTATTCATATTATTATATATATATATTTAATTTTATTTCATTTTTGTTGTTATAAAATTAATCTTCAATAAGGAATTTTTTCTTTGAGAGCGGTGTATTAAATTGTACACATCGAAATAAATTTATACGACAATCCAACTGATACAAAAATTTTGTCATTTTATGTAAAAGTTTTTGTTACTCAGAGCAACAATGTTATTGTAATAATATTTGATATTATAAATTTTTATGTTTTATATACTAACCAGTAGTTAATGTCGTCTCGTGACACTGAATATTGTGTTTTGCGGTAGGAGAAAATTGTAAGAAATTTTGACATCGATCTGTCACGTCGAAATACTCGAGCAGCACTGAACAAATGTTGGATCTTTCCTTGCAATATAGATATTGGGTTCATTATGTACCGTGTACGATTTACATATATTTCCATACGTAGATCCTGTATGTTAACACCTCTTTCTTAACGACACAATCGTTTTTAACGTTTTTTCTTTAAAATAATATAATATCCCACACAGAAGAAAAACTTCATTAGACGTCTATTGGACGTCGACAGCTCCATGTGACATCTAATAGATGTCTAATGGATGTCTGGATGGATGGATATGTCTGTGTGGGATATTATAATATATTGTACTATGTATAAGCGCTACCGTATAAAAAGCATTAATTTTACTAAAACATTAAGAATCTGTTCAAAAGTATAATAAAAAATAATAATATAACATATAAAACTCAAGAACGCAAGAAGAGCTAAAAGACACGGTAGTTGATGTGACCTTGGTAATAGATAGTTGAAGAAATTTCTCTTATTTTTTTCTGAAATTATTTTTATTTAGAAATTAATACTGTAGTTTCTAAGAATACATGTTCTTCTAGTATTTCTAGTCAATATTGAATTTTAACAGATTAAAGATACATGCTTAATGTTTTTTTATATTTTTTATGTAGTTTACACGATTTTATAAAATTCCATATAGTTTTGTTTTTATATAGTAAGACCACCGTTAACACATATAGTTTGTTCTTTTTCTTGAACAAGTTTGCACTAGTTAAACTCTGAAGAGGCGCAGTGGTCCACGTCACACATTATGAGAAAGTCAAAAAGACTATAGTATTACAATCCTATGTTTTTTTTCTTACGACTACTATAGAACTATTCGATAGCCAATCGACGATTTTGAAATCTTTGTCGTACGAGGAAAACGCGAGAATGTAATATTACTACGACTTAACCTCATGTCGTCACAAAACAATGGTGGTAGGAGACAAATAGAAGGATAAGTCGCTTAACAATTCAAACAGTTGAGCTTGAACAATAGCAGAAGCTCGATTACTTCGAAGTTAACGCGAAATCTTACCGCGATCAGTATACATATATTTATTTATTTAAAAAATGTGACCGCAGTAGCGGTTACATTTTTACAGTTCTCGACGTCTTTTCAATTTCTTGCTGTTTCTCAATTTTTTTCTAATTCGTGATCACGTGCGAACTGTGTGAACAAAATTTATTTGCGCGAGATTCGTGTGCGTAGTTCATAAATACGGAAATGCAGACTTGTAATTTAAACATATTAAATGCAAATAAAATTTAATAAAATGATAATTTAGTAAGAAATATTGTAACGCACACGTATTCTCACAGCGACTGAAAGAGACTCGGATAGATAAAAGAAACAATTGAATTTTCGAGCGACGGCTCTATGATTCGCGTACTTTTGATTAGTATTTTATTGAATAATCGAGCGAGCGTTTCAAAAACTTATTTATACTACATACTGTTTATCTTCTATATGCTTAATTCTCGAACACTACACTTCATTTTGTTTACTTACAAACACCACACTAGTGCGAATTTGGACTGGATTTGATGTCGTTTATACTGCGCATCTCTTTGCCAAAATAAAAGCATTCAATTTGAAAGAGGCGTTTTTCAAGATAAAATTTTCTTAAGGATTTATTGATGATATTTTAATTAAGTAAAAACATTATTTGTTGTAAACTCTTTGTTAAAAAATTTATACATGAAATAAATCTTTTCTTTTAGAGTTTGCTACTTTTTCGTATTCGACGAAATGGAACAAAAATCTGATGTACAAGACGTATTCTAACGAACAAATATAATTATGAATAATTATAGATTTTATGTAAAATCACTTGAAGTGTTTTTGTGTGTCTGAAAAGTTGAACGTATTTTCACTTCGAACTGCTTTATATTGTCTCTTTAGATGTTATGAGATATAGGATAATATAAGCCAGAATGGAAAAGAGACGCAAAAATTAATTAATAAATATATGAGCAAATTTATTTCTTATCCGTTCCACCCCCTCCAGCTCGCTTGCGACTCCCTCTCTTTAGTTCTTCCTTTTTTTATTCTATAGCAACAACATTGTTCAAATAATAAATAACCTAAAAGTCATCAATTTATAATTATTTATAAATTCAAATCTTTCTTTTACTATTCAAATCTCTTTAAGTCATTTTTTTTACAATTTAAGGTTCTCTTTATAATAGAACGGTAATTAACGTCTAATAATAACTTTGACACGTCCCGATCTATCGCGATAATGTTTTTAATTTTATAATTATAATTAGACGCTAGATGTGTAGAACGTATCACCAGAATCACCATTTTGGACGCGATAGAGACATGAAACGATAACGACTACAACAAATACTTTTGCTATTTAAATAAATTATTTAACGGTAGGGATTCGTGAAACGGAATAATATAATAAAGTGAGAACAAATCACAGCAGATGTAACAATGTATATTTTGAGATTCTCTAGACAAGAGATCATCTCGGAACACATGAACACGGACGCGAATTTCAAAGCTCGCGAGAACGAAGAATATACATTCGCGATAACATATCCCCCGTCTGTCTTTTTGCAAATGACCCAGACAGCATAGCATATCCGAAATACATCTGTGGGAGATCCCGATAATGTTTTAGAGACATAAGACATTTTCTGGATGTCTCATAGATGTATTTCGGACATGCGTGCCATATGTCGACACTCAATGATCAAACAATTATCAAACGGAACACTGACAATAGTAACTGACCGATTCGCCGTTTGAGGAAGCGAGACGCGTTCACAGCTGTGAGGTAACTCTGTAAGGTGCTTCGCAATTCGAACTCCCGTTGCGAGACGCAAATATAACGCGAAAAATTATTACAATCCGAAATGGCAGAAAGAAGACACTCGTCTCCGATTTGTTGAACTTTTCGAACTTTTCGAAATCGTCAAAATCAGTTCAGTTGTCAAGACCAAAATCAGTTTAGTCTTGTCGTCTTCCCGGGATAGCGGTAACTAGCACAATGAAGGTGCGTTTGCGCAAGAAAATCAGCCGATCGGTGCCGACTGAGTCGCAGCCTTGACTTCTTGCGCAGGCACAATTCTGACCTACACTTTATCGTGCGTGTGGGCAGTTGATTTGCTATCGCGATTTTGTAATATAAAATATCGTGAGGTAATAAATTCTTTTTTGCTTCGCGTGATTTTATATATATGCGCGAACAAGTTCTTCTCCCGATCAGTTGCGGGAAGGTCTGGCCAGGACGTTCCCGCATAAGGAGAGATTCCAGCTCTCACCGAGAGTACCGGTGCGTGATGTTAATTCGAAAATTTGATTCGAAAATTTCCCACGTAATACTATAAATAGTGTACGTATTTTGTCGTAGTAGAAAGAAATTGTTAAAGCTGCTTCAATCTGAACAAGCTTGTTAAAATTAATTTTAATTTTAATTTAAACATTTTTTACTGGTAGCAAATTCGCACTAATGTGGTGTTTTTCTGGTGTTAATACTGATAAAGTATTTTGTTTTGTACTGACTTTGAAAACGCATTTAATCGTCTATCGGTGGAACTTCGTTCCATTGCGTATGGGAACCGTCGCCTTTGTTAATCGTGACTTCCTTAACAAGTTCGGGGGACGGCTTTTTGAGATTGTAGGCCCATCCAATCTTCGCGAACGCGTCAATGAAGAGCGCCGAGTAGTTCAGAACGTACCAACTGAACTCGGACGCTTGATAATCCCAAGGAAACACATGGTGATAATTGTGAAAGCCCTCACCTGCCATGAACAGACTCACGCCCATATTTTCCGTGGGCCATATGTTCCTAAAAGAACAAGAAAATACACAAACATTAAATATTTACGAAAAAATCTGAAATATTATTGCCAATACACACGACATCGCAATATTCGAAACTTCGCTGGACGATCGAGAATATTACTCGGGAAAATTCTTTTTATGTTAAATGTAAGGAAAGACAGAGACTTCTGTTTTTTTTTTGTTTTTTTTGCAGCAGAATCTTGCAGCGCGAACGATATTTGTGGCGATTTTTGCTTTGTAATTTTAATGTTTTATTCTAAAAGGATCTTTTGAAGACTCACTTGTTGTACGGCCTGGCGCCCCACATGTGGGCAACGCTGTTTATAGAAAACATCGCGTGCAGCACGAATAACGCTCGTATTGTTTGCGAGACGAACGCTCTGCTCCAAGTCTCGTTCCAGAAGTACACCGGTACAAGCGTAGGCAGGATAAAAGTGAATATCGGTGTCATTATCCACACGTATCTGCAAAGAATTGATATAGGAAACGCATGAAAAAAAAAAAAAAATTGCATCATACATTGGAAATATATAACATCGTGTACAACGGACGATCTACTTTTTTTGAAAAACAACAACCGGATCTTCCATGGTTTCCCTCATGTCGATTTCGCGTAGCTCCTTAACGATCTCGCGACTGAACCTCTTCATACTCCAACCTATGTGACAGTAGAAGAAACCACGTCGACTGTTGTGCGGATCCAGGTCGGTGTCGACATATTTGTGATGCATTCGATGAATCCGCACCCAGGAGAAGACAGATACCTGTAAAAAAAAAAAAGGTATTTACTCTATCAGAGAGAGAAAGTATTTTTGTAAATACATGAGGATGTCTCACACAGTTGTGCAAAACCAGTAATCTTCATTTTTTTTCAAAATTTTCAAATTATTATTACAGATGTGCAAACGCGTTCTCGCATAAGCAGTTTTTTTTTTATAAATTCTCGCAAAATTACACGCAAGATGGATACGCTATGACATTTCTCATATATTTTCTTCTTCTCTGCGTAAAAGTTAACGCAGAGAAAAATTTCTGAAATTTTATATTTTATATTGATACTTGGTAAAAAAAAAAAAAAAAAAAAAACTTATCGCGTGCATTTGTATCGCGCGTGACTAAATCGCAATTTCAAACACGCACGGAGTCACAAATTAACCCTTTTATTTTAGTATCGCTTTATTACCTGAGCAGCCGAACTGTAAATGACAGCGAGGATAATTCTAAGCGGCAGATTGGCTCTATACGATCGATGAGACCACAATCTGTGGGCACCAGCAGTCACGCCGATACACCCCAGATTGTGCATAATCAGTACTAAAACAATTATAACAAAATATTTATTTTAGTTCTATTTTCTAATCATATCTTTTCTAATCATACGTATGTACATTAAAGTCATCGTATAAATTGCACGGTTAAAATTCTAAAAACTTATAAAAACACTAGTATTTCTTTTTTTTTTGTCAGTAAACCTCAGCAAGATATAAGATACTCCCAATTAACACACACAGTTTTTAGAGTTATATATATATATATATATATACTTACTCCATAAAGTCGTTTTCAGGTTTTCAAAATAATTGAACGTGACTAAACCATAAAGCCCGATAATGTGCAATGTGACCAAATATAAGGTCGGAAACCATAGTATTCCAAAACTGTCTGTTTTGCGTTCCGTTTTTTCTGTGACATCCTTCTGTTTGCAATTTGTCGTGTCGCAGACTTCATCGTGGAAATTTTTCTCAGTCATGCTTATTTGAGTCACGCACCAACGAAAATAAGGATCAACACTCAATTCTTGTTTAAACTGTAAAACATATACATGTTATATTCTTGAATAACAAAAATTTTGTCTCACTATATTAACGAGAACAATCGGAATCTCGACATTGATGAGATCGAGGGTAATCACGGTGCGAGGGTAGTTGCAGCACTGCACACTGTGCAGATAGATATATGATGCGCGTCGTCGCACAGGAAAGGTTTCCTCAGCGCATAACTACGGATGCATCACTTTGAACGTACATTTCACATTTAATAGCGACATAATAGAGGTTGTACAAAGATTCAAGTGATAGTTTTGTTTCGGAAAACATTAAATATGAGAAAAAATCATATTTACACATAGATGGACGAGAGCACAGAGATTATTAAACTTCATAAATTCCCGGAACGTTTCGGCTTTATTTTGAATCAATAACCTCGACGTGACCTACTTTCATCTTGTTCGGTCATTACTGCCAGTACTGAAACGATCTATATATATATTTCTACGTACATGTATGTAACATGTATATATGTGTATATATGTGTATATGTATATATGCACATGTATTGTTTCACGTTATGTAGATTGTTAGAATCTTAGTATTTAATTCAGTGCCAAACATATAATCGTGTACATACATAATCGTATACTACATAATAATGATGATGTGAAAGATCTAATCTATTTCGACGTCGTGTCGCACATAACATATTATTACATATTCTCTGAATATACAAAAAATTCAAATATTGAATTTCTAAAATACGATAGCACACAACATGTAAAAATATAAAGATAAATTAGTCACATATTAAGCCTCTTGCACAATGCGAGGGAATAGTGATAGCGATAAGCAATAGACACAGAATTCAAACTCGTCGGAAATTTTATTTGCTATTGCTTATTCTGTTTTCCGATCTGCATTGATACATGTATATTTTTGTATGTTAGATTATGTTCCTACCGTATGTTCCTACCGTTATTTATAAATATAAACTCTTTAAAAACTAGTGTTATTTCTGTCGTTATCGCTATTCCTTCCATTGTGTAAGGGACTTTATATATGTATATATAATGTACATATATACAGGGTGTCCCATTTAAGTCGACACAGCAAAAAATCTCTTAGACAACTGATTTAAAAAAAAATAAGCTGACGCATGTTTTTAGTATTTTGAGTAAGTACTATTAGTTTTTTAATGCATGAGCGTTTTCAAACGCTAAGTTTCTACAATAAGATATCGCGCAACATGTAAAAGTATCAAGACAAATACGTGAATTGTTCTGATGAAACAGTACTCATTCAAATAACAATAGTTATAAAAATTCTTAACCGAGCACGAAACTGGCTGTCAAAACTGATTGAAGCAAAAAGACTCGTCTTTGCAAAGAACAGTATCCACAAAATTATATTAAAATATTGTCTGTGTCAAATGTGAGAATAAACTTGTGAGAACAAAAATAATTCAAATCACTGCGTATATATATATATTATATGTTACTGATCGAAATTCGTACACGTTTAAACCGCACATATACATGTAATATTTAAATATATATGACAGTTAGAAAACAAAAAAAAAAAACCAAATTTATATCATACTTTCTAAAGACAAACTTTTATCTACGCTGGTCGTCAACGATTCGAACACGGCTCTCCACCTACTGTGCAAATTTGTTTGCACAGGATAGCTTTCATACAATTTTCTACTTCCAAGATGTTTTTCAAACTATAAAAAAGTTTTTCAAAATATAAAAAATATTTAATGCAAAAAAACTTGGCGGGGCTGTGGCTCGTCAACTATAATGAAATTATTTCTTTGTACAGAATACAAATCATTTATCGTCAAATTGTAATATAAAAATACATCATAGTTATACTGTTCTTATAGTTACATTGGTACTTAACAAGATCGAGTTGCTTTGTCGGAATCACCTTTGTCCTCAATCATGGAACATACTGATACTGCCACGTGAATATTTCTAAATATTTAATTTTGCAAATATACTTTTTGTTCTGTATTATTCAAAATATTATTTGCGTTTTTTCTAAAATAATCTTATCATAAGTAATAAATTTCTTTATCGATATGTAACTTCTACTATTTTTTTCTGCATGTAATTAGTGTATTTAAGTCGCATTATTATGATAAGATACATTGCAATGACTCGTATAATTGCGGACACATGTAGTTGAATTGATAAACTTTTTGCATAAACATTATACTTTTTTTAGAAAATCGATATCTCACATAATCAATAACCAGGATCGATTGTTTTGCAAAATCTGCAATAACACATCATGCCAGTAGAATGCAGCAATTAATCAAACTGGTATTTTACCTAGTCGACAGAAAAGCAAAAAAAAAAAAAAATATACATGTGTCATACCGTGATGCAAATATTATTGCATCAATCAAGCAGAACTTGCTGAAATAAATGTAGCAGATTTGAAGCATAACGTGCTCTTGTTTTCACTTATTTCTTATATTTTCGCTGAGTTGCTTTCCTTGCACATTGTGCCTACACAATTCACTCATATAAGGACACAGCTGAGTGGAATCTGCTGCAAAGTGCTGATTAAATGTGCGTGCATACTGCTGGCATGCTACTATCATTTGACTATCTGGGATGTTATTACGAACAAAGAACAAGAACACAAAAGTTACATACACCAAACAATCGTCCACTTGCTCATCCTTAGAATATGTAACAATCCACAATTACAAGTGAGATAAATGTACAGAAAAACAAAGACCCTCCACACACTGTTCCATTTATATTGTTGTTTTTGCGGGTCTTGTATTGGTGCCGCATCATTGGTTGCGATACTATGTTAAAAGCTGTGGTTGTTTTCCGTTTATAATATGCAATTGTGAGCTGTACATCTAACTCAACTAATTTATCATATACTGTAAGTTTTAATAAAAAACTTTTTTTTATCCATTGAAACATTAATTGTCGACTTTTGTATTTTGTTTTTAAAACTTTGTAGAAAAACATTGAGAAAGACCCAATCTAAGGTCGAAAACGTTTTGTTACTCAATAAATTAATTACATCACACACACTAACAACTGTGTTTGTTCCATACTGCCAATTTTTGAATTTCTGAATTATATTATTTGGAGCAGTTCACTTCACATTTTTAATAGTTATAAAATTTTTAATCGAGAACGAAAATCGATGTCAGAACTAATTGAAGCAAAAAGACTCATCTTTACAGAACAGAACCCGCACAATTATATTAAAATATTGTTCGTGTCAAATGTGAGAATAAACTTGTGAAAACAAAAATAATCCAAATCACTGCGTGTATACATATTATATGTTACGCTTCTCGAATTACACATTTACACCGTACATATACACGTAATACTTACAAACTAATAAATGTATAGATGTTCATGATTTTCGTTCGCTGAATGTTGTGCGGAAATATGCGTGTATATTATATATATATACGTATATATATATATACATGTTCATGTATCTTACACGTGTGAATGGAGTAATCATTGAATAAATTAAGCCAATCAGCGCCGATCTTTAGTCGGGCGCACGTCAAGAGTCACGTGAAGTGCTCACGCAAACCAAGCGCGTTCACGTATTTTGTGTGTGTGTGAACCACCGTGATAAATCAGTACTTAAAATTGTTACTTTTAATCAAGACATCAAATAAATCAGGTTCACGTTTTATAAGTGTCATATCGCACATATCTAAAACATACGAGAACTTGGAATGAGTTTTAGAAACAACGTTTAAGAGAAATCACATAGCAATATTATATTGCATGAAAAATTTTCGTATTTTCTTTTGTCAATAAGCGATCGCGAAACTTCATATTTATTTGTTAAACTGCTTTTGTTTTTTGGGAGAGGCTTTTTGGAGAAAGAGCGAGGAGAACGCGCTAAATTGTATATGAGCGAAGTCTCGATCAGACGCGACATATATTTTTTTCTCAAAGTTATCGAATTAATCATTTTTATTTATCCTGCTTAAGTGTATAAGATTACTACATAAATGCGTATTTGCGTATTGAAAAAAAAAATTGGTTTTATTACAGTTTTTTACTATGTTCTCAGTATTTTAAAAAACATAAATTCTTTACTGTTTTATTACACACTTCACATCTAGAAATAATTTACTTCCACTATGTGAACACCATAGTTTTCAATGTTTATTTTAAAGTAAACGGGAATTCTCAAAAAATGTACAAATCATGTAAGAGTTGTTTATCCCATACCCGACAAGTTCAGATTTATTGTTTTATTTATACATACACCATAATATTTGGTTGCGTATACACACGTATATATATATATCAGTATGCGTATATATATATATCAGTATAGATTTTTGAACTCATATCTACTGTCTTATTCGATACAATTGCTGTTGTTGCTATTACTAGTTTCTTTGTTATTTCGGAGAACACGTTTTTTCACTATGTCCGGAGATACAGTTTTCAAATCGTAAGCCCACCCCAGAAGAGCGAAGAAGTCAATAAAACCTGTAGCAAAATTCATCGAGTAATTTCCAAGCTCCGCTGCTTTGTAATCCCAAGGAAAGACGTGGTGATAATTGTGCCAGCCTTCGCCGGTAGCCAGAACTGCGACAACCGCGTTTTCAGCAGGAGACATAGATCTGCGCAACAAAGATGACATATATGCACTATATTAATTGATACATTAGAATCACTAATTTTTATATACTCAAACCGCCGATTTCTTTTAAAGGCCCTAAGGAGGTTGCGCTAACTTATGTTCGCGCGCAAAAAAAAAAAACTATTACGGGTACGTTACTTGTCATATGGTTTCATTCCCCACATGTGAGCCGCCGAGTTCACCAACCAAATAGCATTAAGACCGTAGCAATATCTAGCGATATTTGCGACCCACGAGTACCACAGAGATTCATTCCACGCCAGCCAGGGCACGATCGTTGGCACGGCGATAAAAAACACAGCTATTAGAAGATGATAGTATCTATAAACAAAGATAAAAAAAAAATAACTCGGATACACTATGAGATATTGACATGTGGGTTATATAAGTCTCATACTTTTTCTGAAAAGCCACAATACGATCGCGTTTGAGATCACTGCAATCAATAAGTGGGCCTTTTTTTTTTAATTCCGGATGCTTTCGTGTTAAAAGCCAACCTATATGTGAAAAAAAGAATCCTCTTTTCGAGTTGTACGGATCCGCGTCGGTGTCGATGAATTTGTGGTGCATTCTGTGATCTCTGGCCCAGTGATGAATGTCATCCTGAAAAATAAATAAATCAGTCAAATCGAGATTAAGTAATGTGATTTATTACGCAAAAACAGCTTTCATGAGTCAACTGTAGTTAAGACAAGAGAGAATTAACGAGACTCGAAAGTTATCACAAAAGGAAAGAAAAAATAAATAATAATACAAATAAGTGAACACGTGAATAATGCAAAACTTACTTGACAGCTAACAGTTTGTAAAATTATCAGGATCAATCGCAGCGGCCATTTTGCTTTGTACGCACGATGAGCCCATAATCTATGACCGCCTGCAGTAATACCGATCCCGGAAAGAATACCAACAACGGCAACTGAAAAATTACCAATCACACAAATTACTGTTTTAAGAAAGCGATTACGGTCGCACACCGATTAAGAAGATTATTTATTGTGTTTTTTGTAAAATGGTCTTATCACAGGTGATAATTTCTTTGTCGATATGCAACTTTTACCTTTTTTTTTTTTGAATGTTATCAGTGTATTTACGTCGCATTTTCATTGTATCAAGATATGGAAATTGCGACGACTCGCACATTTGCAGACACATTGTAGTCGAAATGACAAACTTTTTGCACAAATATTATCATTTTCTTAAAAACTAATATCTTTTATATAATGTTATTACAAACAAAGAAGCAAAAAAAGATACTTACACCAGACAATTGTCAACTTGTTCATTCTTGTAATATTTAGGATTGCATAAATGCAAGTGAGATGAATGGACAGAAACAACAAGATGTTTTTCCACACAATCTCCCATTTGTGTTCTTGTTTTGGCGATTCTTGTATTGATGCCGAATCAATCGCAGTCTCTTCGGGTTTTATTTCGGACGACATAGATTTCGATATCATGTTGCACAGATTGAAATTGTACGAGATTTAATCGACGAATTCTAGAAAAAACTACATATTTGTTGTGTAGAATACAATAATAATAATAGAGATTTAAAAAACTACTAGAGCAAAGATCAAATTTAGCTCGATGTTGTGTTGTTCGATCCGAATATACGAGATCTATTTTTTTATTAAGTTTTTAAACTAATAAGATATGTAAAAGTATCGAGACAAATATACGAATTGTTCTGATGAAACAGTTCATTCATTCAAATAACAATAATTATAAAATTCTTAACCGATCGCGGAAAATGACTGTCGAAACTGATTCTAAAGCAAAACAGGTGGTCACCTTGCGCAACAGCAACACTACAAAATTATATTGAAATATTGTTCGTGTCAAATGTGAGAACAAAATTGTTAAAACAAAACTAAGAATTGACGTTAATTGTATTATATGTTACACTTGTCGAAAGTTGGAAAAGATTTTACTACACAATACATTGTACCAATCGTACACCGTTATACTTATGATGTGAGGAAATGTTGTCTCGATGTATATATATATACGCGATAGTAAGGGTCGGTTTTTACTGATAAAATGTTACAACGTAGCTTTTTTGAAGTAAAATGTTAATTACTGCTTATGTTGGTGTGAATAAATAAACGATTTTACATACGGTTTAACATTTTACATACAAAACAACGGTTTTAACATTTTGCAAAAAAAGATTAGAGTGTAACAAATAATTTTTATTTATCAGGTAGGTGTTATTATCATCAACAAAAAAACTTTTTTAGCAATACATACAGTTCTAATATAAATTAGAATATAAATCAGACAAGAGCAGTAGTTCTGAAAGAGAAGAAGTTGAAGTTTTTTGTTACAGTTATGTCATGACTGATATGACACTCATTCGCAGTGGAGTAGAAGGCGTACAATAGAGAAAAAAAAACGAAAGAGTGTCACGGCTTGTCTGTGCTTTCATCGGGCGCTCTTCAAATCGAACTCTGTGACAAAGTCATCGATCGGCTTTCAGTCCTCGCCGGCTTTAGCTATTGCCAGACGTAAAGGCAATTGCGTCGATCTAACAATAAGTGAGTCGAACACAAATTTCAAATTAATATTATAATAACGGCTTTGCTCCTCCTCTTGCTCTCCTAAAAATTTTTCTAAACTCAATCTCTAATATACATATCACTGCAATATAATAATGTACATTATGCATCGTTAAGTTAGATTTCTTCGAAGGGTGTGCAAGGGGAGCGAAGCCCTCTCCCTGCCTACACGTGTCATACAAACAATATATTTCCTTACGACTTTCTTTTCGACACAGGTGTTGGAAAACAAAGAATTCATTTGTGAAACTTTGTTTATAACTCGAAAACTAAAGGCGAGCGGCGATAACATGTATTTGCAATTTGCGTTTGCATATTCTGCGTTGTTATTTGAAACTATTGCAAGAAAGTCATTGTTACAGTAAAAAAGTTCAATCAAAGTAAAAAACATAAACACGCTAATTAAGAGAAAAAACATAAAGATTTATTTAGCAGCGAAAATTTCACATGTCGCGTTGTCTGTCTATGTTTTTTTCTTTTTTTTTTTTTTTTCAAAACATATGGACAGAAATAATTAGCTTCAGATCATACGTGCTAGAACTTCTGGCTGATATTTATACGTAATAGTTTACATAACAACAATCACGCGAGCACAAAGCATGTATCATATAATTTGAAGAATTATAAACTGCGACTTTTTTCTTTTGTTGAGAAAAAAAAACTACAATCTACCATAAACTATTTTATTACACTAGCACAACACAGGCGCGCGCTACGCGGTATATATATATTTTGTATATATATACCGTAATCACGTGACCGAAGTCAGTAACATCGCCGCGGTCGCGCGGCCGAGGTCAGTGACTCCACCGCAGTCACGCGACCGAGGTCATTGACCCTCCCCCCACCAAGGCCGCGTGCCCGCGGTCAGTGACCCCTCCCACCAAGGCCGCGCGCCCGCGGTCAGTGACCCCTCCCCCCCACCAAGGCCGCGCAGCCGAGGTCAGTG